GTTTAGCAATAAAGAAAAAACTGTTACCAAGTAAATTCTCAGGATTCAGCAACCATAAGAAGAAAAGATCATAATACCTGTTTATTCCACTTAAAAAACAGCTCCATACTGAATTAATATCTTTTACTGGTCCCACTAGATATTGCAAGTGTCAGAAGTTGCTTTGTTATTCTAGAGGACCATTGCACTATCTTTTAACTGCTAGATATGTTTGTGCTGTCAGAAGTTGCTTGTTATCAGAGGATCATTTCTTACACCCAGAAGCCATACCTATCTGGGAGGCATAAGATTTCACAGAAAAAAAATGATTTGGCAGTTTTGCCATTTGAAGATAGAACCTTCTAACAGTTATGAAACAACCAAGGATTCAGCAAAAGTAAAGGGGCAGTAAATCAGATGTTATGACAGTTTGGGGAGGGGAGAGGGAGGAAGAGAGACGAGAAACGCCAGATAAGAGGCAAAAGACAATGTGAGTATTTAGTTGACATGGTGCTTTTCTCCGCCCAAGTTGTAAGCATCTGATGGATACACATTTGGTGGAAAAGTATTAATAGTTTCTACAAAATATGTTCTAATATGTAAGTGTTCGTTATGCATACTAGAAGGCCAAACTGCCAAAGCAAACAAATAATGAGGAAATGAAATGAAGAAAGTACACTTCATCTCAAAATGTTTCCCTCTTACCTGCACTTATAAGCAACATAATCAATTTACCTAGCAGGACTTGCAAACAGCAATATTCTTATATAGGGAGAAAAATTATAATACTAGCCTGGGTCAAGAGGAAAGAAAAGACCATATGGCTTGAGATACTCATTGAGTTCAATCCAACCAATCCCAGGCTCAACAACCACATCCATGTCCTCAACATGCAATGACTTAATTTTCTGGAACATGGGGGAGAAAAAACAGATTCAATGATGTTATAGAACGAAAGCTAAATGCCAGTGTGCAACTGCCTCCTAAACTAGAACAATCTTCCAAATCTACTACATTATGTAAAAGTATACAATTGAATAATGCATTTGGATGTTTTATGTAATAAGTCATGGACACAAATAATAGTTACCTTCTCCATTAGTTACTTCATTTAAAAACACAGTTGATTGTTGATGTGAATACCACTATCTTTTAAAAGCAAATAAGTAATAAAAAAATCTCGATCTGATTCATATCAATGGTTATGGAGGAAGGGATAGGATAAAGGGGTTCAACTTGTAAACTCATAAAAAAGTAGATTTCAAAAGTACTCTATTTTCAGAGGGCAAAAAAATCCATAAATAATGTACATGCATTCTATATAGCTTGAAATACATTTTTAGCATATTTGTCACTTAGGAAAATGTTAATTGGGATATGCATCATATGTACTTAAATGTTACATTTCCTTAGAAAGTTCACTTCACTGACCAATGACACATTTTCTGCGTGACTATATAAAGAAATTTTGTACGTTTATTTATCCGTGTGCACTGGAGATATAATAGGATTTAATTCTTAAAAAACTTTCAGTGTTTCTCTTAATAAGATAACCTATCAAAGGTCAGCTATGGCAAAATCCAACTGGTTTTCAGAAGGAAGCACCAGTTTTGAAAAAGAACATGCCATAATAAACAGTTACTTATTATGTCTGTGACAATGTTAGCATCCAGGTCCGTAGAATCCTTGTGCACAGCTCAAACAATTGCCAAAAGTCGGGCATATCAGCCATTGTGCCAAATGATTCTGTTTATCCGTACTCCAATTCCATGTATAAGTATCTTATTTACAGCTTGAACTATTACTAGGGAGTTCAGTATATCAATAATCAACCATAGCAGTTCTCAATGCTGTCCGGCACAGATATTATTCATTCTCAATGATGACCACAATCACGCCTATAATTTTCTATCTAGTAAGTGGTAACACCCAAGTTATACAACCAATCACATCCCTCATGCTTCCCAGACAGAAAATCAAGATGAAACCTGCCCCTGTTGAGCTTCACTGTAAGTTTATAGACCTGATGAGGTTAGAGAAATCACCAACGCCATCTACAATTCACATGCCATTAGTTAATTGACTTCATTATTGTCAAAATTTCTTGGAAGACTACAACATAATCCAAACTAACATAGGATAAATAGCAGCATTTTAGACATGCCACTGCTCAATTTAAGAGGGTGATGACTTAGGCTAGCTTCCTTTCCTGCATAACAAAAATTATGCATTCCTTGTTTTTCCACCCTCTAAAGTCAATTCTGACTGCATAGGACATCAACTGAGTAGGAAATATATATATATGGAGTTGGCTAAAATTTTATGTGACCCGTAAACAGAATATGCATTCTATCATTGCTAGATCGGTCCATAATGTTCTATGAATAGTGAACCAATAATTGACTACATATCACATATTTTCCACCTCTAAAGTCAATTCTGACTGCATATCACATCAACTGAGTAGTAGATGATAGCCATTTTTCATATAGCAGATATCTTTTCAGAGTGCCACCCTAAGTGTACTCAAAGCAATGACTATCACCAACTATATGTGTGTTCTCCTTGACATACCATCAATCTAACTCTAATTTCGTGAAGTTTCGTACTACCGAAAGCCAGGTTAAACCAACAAACACTAGATATGCATTCTACAGATTAAGGGTTTGAGAGGAAAGGAAAGAGACGGATTGATGCAGTCATATAGATAATGCAGTCTCATTTGCATGTATTTATGCAGCACAGAAATAATGTAAACTCATGTGCCTGTCTCATACAGTACTTATTTGATTTCCGTGCTTTTTTTGGGTCTACATGTCCAATTATATGTGTATAGAAAACTCACATTCATCAGTGTCATATCTATACATACACCTCCATTTGGAGCTAAGGTGTGCCCCTCAATTGATGTAGCTCCGCCATATGGTACAATTGGAATCTGCTCCAACAAAGTGAAACTATTGTAAGCTTCCTTAACTCATAAGTTTGATGAGAAGAAATACCTTAGCTAAACATATTTCAGAAAACATTATTTACAGAAATAAGGGAGATGACAGATTTTAAAGTGCAAATGTCAAATCGCTAGGTCAGCCTCGGAAAGTTCTTCAGCTATGTGCTCATAGCAAATTGGACATGATACCTTATATTTGTTACAAGACAATACTATCTTGTGCACATCATCTCCTGATCTGCAAATGCAAGAAAAGATTTTAAAAAAGCTCCCAAGCATAAAAGTTCACATGGCAAAATCATGCTGGAGATCAATAAGGGGAAACCTAATTTATTTTCAAACTAGATTAAACTCGGATGTCAAACTGTTTTAATTGGGACCACTTACCCAGCTCAAAATTAATTTAGACTCATTTGAACCAGGTATGAAGTTTTACAACTAGACTCATGATTCAAAGTTATTCTTGAAGATGGCAATAAACTTGGCTCAATTGTGGTTTGGATATGTCGCATCAGGCTCCAATTTGGTTTGTTTGCTATAGTTGTAGGTCATCAACAGATTCTTTTCTGACATACCCAGTGGAACATTGCCAGACAAGGAGGTTCACCCTCTTGCATTGTTTTATGATTTATCCCTTTAGGGTCTTTGACTCTTTGCTATCCTGCATATTTTGCTGGGGAAGTATTATGGTCTCAATATGAGACAATTCTGAAGTCTATAATAACGGTTACACTGACATGAGGGACAATCATTAGAAGATTTACCAACTTTCACATCAGAAATCAAACATTATGTGGTGCAAAGTTCTACACTTGCCAACTGCGCAGAAGGAAAGTAAGTGAAACACATGACCTGGCATTTTTCCATACTATATATTCCTCTTAAGGATACCAACTAGCTCTTTACGTAATCAAGAACCAAAAATCCAACATTAATTCTATTGACAGTACTAAGCAAAGGAACTAGAAAAAAGAAAAATATGAGATTACTCTCATTGCTTCTTCATGGAAATACATTTGATTCTTTGATTCTGTTTTCCAGCATAAGATGTATCAGTAAAGGATAAATTTTACTGCAGTTTAGATCTTAAATCCTTCCAGCTAATGCCGTTTATGACAATTTCCAATAGTTCAAGCGGTTTTATATAGTTTTGAAAATTTAGGGGGTTTCTCTGATGTATAAAGTTTAGAGAGGTTTTGTGTAAAACATGTCAAACTTCAGGGATGGGGGTTTATGAAATTTAAATAACAAAACTGATCGCTGAATTGAACAAGACCTGCAGCTAAGGCAAAAAAACGAACCTTTCATTTTTACCATGTGTGAATAAATAAACATGTCCAAAATACAATCACGAAATACAAATATACCTAGGATAGACTACAGCATCAGGAACATTCACAGCTTTGTGAAAACTATTCTGTGGCTTTCCGTGGAAGTATCTCTCCTCAATGTCCAAAGTCATGTTTTCCTGCCAACCAATGCCATTCGAAAAACTTTTCAATTAAATTAATAAAGCAACCTCAACAATTTTGAAGAGCGTACTACAAGAGAAAGGGGAAAAAAGGAAAGGGAGGATATTTACTCCACAAATAGCTCTCAGCTCATCAATGAACTCTCTCGGAACCTCCTTGTGCGTACCTTGAACCAGAATCTCAGTGCTATCCTTACCTCCTATGCTGCACCCAACAGATTATATCCTTAGGCCATGTTTGGATTGGGTATTATTACATGGTAATAAGCCTTTGTCCCTTAGAACTAAATAGTGGGGTGTTTGGTTCAAATTTTCAAAGGGGATTAGTCCGGACTATTTAACCTGTTAAAATGAAATAGCCTGAACTTTCCAGACTAAACAAGAAGGGAAGGGGTGGTATTATAGTATAGGGATTATTTACTGCTTGGTATTAGACTTGAAAAGACCCATTGCCCCTCTCATTTTCCTGAAAATTATCTATAATTATGAGAACTAACAGTCCAGTGTGAAGACAACTTCACATGAACATCATTTTGCACAGACCAAATAAAAAAAATCAGCAACCTGACAAGTTCAATCGAATTTGAGGGTCAGTGCACAATAATATCATTGTTCTTTCACTATTTTGGGAAACTGTGTTTTCACAAATGACTGCTTATATAAATATCATTAGCAGGGAAGAGGACGTCTTGCATGATTAGGCCCATATTTTCACAACGCTTGTGCTTTGCTTTAAATAAATGAGCTCAGTCACCTAATTTGGAGTTGGAGTATAATTTGTTTGATTATTTTTTGGTTGGTTTAATTTCAAGAAAACTTTTTCCTTTAGTTAGAACATTGTATAGAGTAGATAAAGTTGGAGATGATAGCATAAGGGCATTGTGGATATTTGGTGGTGCTTATCCTATACACTTTACAATGATAACCCTATAACACTTTATAATGATAAGTTTCCAAACATAACATATGTATTAATGGTTTTAATAACAAATTGCACCAAATAAATTATTAAAAATTTAACTCGCTATAACCTACATGATTACTATACCCCAGGATTATAGTGTGTTAAATTAATCCGGGGACAAAATAAATCTCTAATCCAAACATGGTCTTACTTTATCAAAATCCAAACATGGTCTTACTTTATTATTTTGATAGTCGGTGATCTAATAATGACCAATATCAAATTTGATACAATTAATAACCATTAAAACTTAATTTAATAGTAGTCAAATAAACTTTTTCTTCTTACTAGAAGGATGGATATTGTTATGGTGTTCCCACTCGCTGACAGATGATGTATTAATTAACATTAAAAGCTCTAAGATATTTCAATGCATCTTGCCTCAATCAATTGGCTCGCCCAAGCCCTATAAAGAGTTTGACTTAGCCAACTCGTCGAGTCAACACGAAAGGCGGAGTTACTTGACCCTCTGGTCAAGGACAATTAGCCAAGGACCCACTCGACCACCCGTCCAACGCCCTACGAAACCGACTCAAAAGGCATTACTTCTCGACAAAGCTATCTACACTGACAACACGTCCACCTTACATTTAATGTGTCACGAGTATCATGCCTCTAGTCTCGGTGTATTCATGACTCATCGGACCACGTGGGCTCTGCAACGCCACCGATCATTTCTCATTTAATGCCGAGGTGATCTACCCGCCAGTCGCCAGCCAACACCTGTAAAGCAGAGACTGACTCGGCTGTCAGCCCACACTTCATCACCGCCCTACTGTACTTAGCTGAAGTGACAAAACTACACATTACGCATTGAGTATAAATACACAAACCATTCTAACGTAAAAGGGTTGATAAATCAGATCTTCTAACACCAAAACTAACTGCATAATAAAAAAGATAACAATTCTTTTTCTACCCCACTCAACTAACTTGATCGTTGGAGGTACAACGGGGGAACCCAACCCATCCTCTTACGGATTTCTACATGTGCATGTTGTTCAACACTCCAACTCAAGAACGAGTCATAAAGTCAGAGAAGAAAGCGACCCCTCTTCAATACAAAACAAAACCGATCTTTTTCTGGATCCAACTGACTATGTGATCTTAGTCATCAACAGATATGTTAACATGCAAAAATTATAAAATTAAACTGGGAGAGAGTTTAACTACATAACATAGGTTGATGGTATTAAACATGTTTATCAAGAAGTGGAGTAGAAAAACTAACATGAACAAGAGACAAAGAACTAAACGGTTGGTGGTGGAATGAGGATGTGCAAAGGGCGATTAAAGAGAAGAAAATATTATATAAAGAGTGGCAAAAGTGTATAAGCAAGGAAGCTTAGAAAACTATAAGCTAGAGTGAAACTAAATACAAGGCTTATGAGAATTTCTATAATAAATTAGAATCTAAGGAGGGAGAGAAAGATATATATAACATTGCTAAGATTAGAGAAAGAAGAGTAGGAATTTGGGTAATATTAGGTATATTGACGTGAATATCAAAGAGTTCTAGCAACCGACGGGAAAATAAAAGAGATGTGGAGGAAATACTCTCATAAATTGTTTAATGATAACCAAACAAGTGAGCAACATAGAGAATTTGACTATATAGTGAATGATATTATTGCAAAATTAGGATTAGTAAGTTTAAAGATGCTCTAAAGAAAACTAAAAGTGGAAGAACCGTAGAACCAGGTGGTATCCCTATTAAAGTTTGAAAATGTCTTAGATATAGGCTTAGGATGGTTAACTAGATTATTTAATAAGATTATCGAGACAAAGAGGATGCCCGATTAGTGGAGGATTAATACCATGATACCGATTTACTAGAATAAAAGAGAAATGCAAAGTTGTTCAAACTATCGTGGTATAAAACTCATGAGTCATAATATAAAACTTTGGGAGAGGGTAATTAAGCAAAGACTAAGAAATAAGATAAGTGTATCTGAAAATCAATTTGGTTTAATACTCGGGAGGTCAACTATGAAACATCTACATATTTGGAGACGGTTGATGGAGAGATTTAAAAAGAATACAAAGAATTTACATATGGTTTTCATAGATCTAGACAAAGCTTATGATAGAGTGCCTACAGCGGTAATGATGGGTTTTAGAAAAGAAACATGTATATACATGTATATTGACGTAATTAAAGGTATGTATGATAGATTAACAACTAGAGAAAGAACTAATTAAGGAGAAACTAAGCCATTTTCTATTACCATATATTTACATCAAGGATCAGCCTTAAGTTCTTACCTTTTTGCATTAGTTATTGACCAACTTACTATGCACATTCAGGATGAAATCCCATGGTGTATGTTATTTGCGGATTATAGTGTTGGTTGACGAAACTAGAAAAATGATAATTTCTAAAGTTGAAAGGTGTAGATAAACTCTTGAATCTAAAGGTTTTAGAATTAATAGAACAAAAATAGAATATATGGAGTGCATTTTTAGTAAAACTAAAAAAACTACAGTACATATTGATGGTCAATAAATATCTAAAAATAATCATTTTCACTGTTTAGGATTAATCATTCGACATGATGATGAGATCGAGGATGATGTTATCCATTAAATCAAATCGGGATGGTTTAAATGGAGGAGAGGTTTAGGAGTCTTATATGGTCATAGAATACCAATAAAATTAAAGGAAAATTTTCATAAAACCGTTATAAGACCAACAATGCTTTATGGTTCAGAGTATTGGGCAATTAAAAAATAACATGTGCAAAAAAGGAATGTAGCAGAAATAAGAATGTTGTGATGGTCTTGTAAGTATACACTAAAAAATAGGATAAGAAGTGAGTGCATTTGTAGTAAATTAAAGGTTGCTTCTATTAAGGATAAAATAAGAGAGAATCGACTAAGATGATTTAGTCATGTAAAACAAAGATCTCTTAGTGCACCTATTAAGAAAAGTGATAGTATTATAGACTGGTTAATGAGACTGATATCTAGAGCCTAGAGGTAAACCTAAAAAAAACTTAGTTAGAAGCAACTAATAATGATATGATTATGATTAACTTAACGGAGGAGATGCCACATAATAGAATGAAATAGAAGAATAGAATTCATGTAGCCCGACCCAAATATTTGGGATAAAGGCTTGGATGTTATTGTTGTTGTATCAAACTTGATACAATATTTCGGTACTTATTTGAAAAAATACATAATAAAAGTAACCTTCTGAAGTTTTGGCGAGAAATAAACCCTAACCAACAATCACTTCACCAAAGGATTGTGGAAAAAATAGGAGAAGGATCGCCTGCGGTGAGCTTACCGGTGATGAACGGCGGGGTCGCAGGTTGCGGAGAGGAGATATCCTCCGACGGCGCCGGCGGCGGCGAGGGAGAGGAGGGAGAGGATTCGGGTTCGGGTACGGGGAGGAGGAACCGGGTCGGGTTTGGGAAGTTGGGAGGGGAGTGAGTTGAAGCAAGAGGAAGAGGCGCGGAGAGTTGAGAAGAGGAAGCGATTGCTGGGAGGAGAAGAGGAAGAGGAGAAGCGAGAGAGGATGGAGATGAAACCCATGGATTTGATGCTGAGGAGAGAGAGAAGAAGAGGAGTTCGCTGTTGGGTCAAAGTGGAGGAGAGCCCGGCGGCAACGGAAAAGGTTGTTGGCCCCTTTTTCATCAATATTTATAAATAGTACCTCGCATTATGGATATTGCGATTGGGTACCTCAGACCGCATGGGCTCTTACAAATAGACCCTTATGTGTGGCTTTTTCCAAATTTCTTAACCATGGTCAAGTTAGGAGTTAACCCTACATGCTCGATTATAATATTATCTTTTTGCTAGTTTTCTCAAGGGTGGGGGGATCTAACCTCCCTGAGTGAACGTCCTAAATTACTACGGCAATTCAAATCAGAATTTATAGGAGACATTGAGGGCATGAACGTTATCAATAATATTTGATTTGGTGAATGAATTAGAGACGAATATGAAGATGTGGTACTTACTTCCTACGTCATTTCCCTAGAAGTCAAAAACATAACCCTAACATTTGGCTAGGAGATATAGAAATATGTTTTAGAGTTTTTGGCTTTATCATTTTATACAAAGTGTGACCAAATAACTTACAGAATTAGAAATGAGTTGGTGGAGAATGATTGATATATTAAAACAAATGGTGTTCCTAGGTTTGGATTTATTATGCTTAATAGGTTTGAATTTGGCTAAGTGGGTTTAGATTGAACTTGATAAAAGGAGATGGGTTTAATTGGGAGTTCAGCATTTAAGGTTAGCTTTAATAGAATATTCCCATAAAATCTACATGTTCTTAACTAGAGGGACATATCGAAAAGAACTCATGTGGTTTAGGAAATTAATAGCAATTTTTTCATTGCTTGATGGACTAATTTCAAATTATCAAAAGGAACCAATATAAAAAAAACTCTAAAAACAAATATTTAGGGTCATTTTTTCTTAGATACCTTATATATTACCTTTTTTTATTTGGTACTCGAAAGATATTTTGTTGGATAAATTTTCAAAACAATCCATTTTGCGATTTTATTCCCAAAAAACGACCCCTTTAATTTTTATTTGTAAAAGCCGACCTGGTTTCAGCCTCAGCGCTGAAACCAGGTCAGTTTTTACAAAAAAAAGTTTCGAAACTTCACGGGTAAGTTTAGCAGTTTTTAATTAAGCTGCTAAACTTCACGGGAGTTGAACTCCTATGAAGTATCTTAGTTCAAAAACAAATTTTTTGAACTGTGAAACTTCACGGGAGTTAAACCCCCGTGAAGTTTAGTAGCTTAATTAAAAACTGCTAAAATTTCGAAACTTTTTTTGTAAAAAACGACCTGGTTTCAGCGCTGAGGCTGAAACCAGGTCGGTTTTTACAAATAAGAGAGAAATGAGTTGTTTTTTGGGAATAAATTTGCAAAAAGAGTTTGTTTTGAAAATTTGTCCATATTTTGTTTTGTGCTTTAAAGCTCCAGTACACCATTTAACTTTGGTAGCTTATGTCTACATAACTGTTCAATTTTTTTTTGTTAAAACTGCATCAAAACGCATCCTCAACCAAATCTCACTTAGGTTCATTTTCTATGTCTTTACTCATTTGGTTTGAACTCATCTTCTTCAAATTCACGGTGTTGACGCTATTCTTGGGGACAAATTTTCAAAATCGACCTCTTTGGGTTTTTAATTGCAAAAAACGACCAATTTCAATCTTATTTATAAAAACCGACCCAGTTGGTTGAAACTGGGTCGGTTTTTAAAAAAAAATTTCCCAAACTTCACGGGAGTTTCCCAAAAAAAATTAAAATAACTGACCTGTTTTCAGCCCCTGGCTAAAAACAGGTCGGTTTTTGTAAATATTTTCAAAACCGGTCGTTTTTGCAATTAAAAACCCAAAGGGGTCGGTTTTGAAAATTTGTCCCTATTCTTGGTGTAAGTTTCCCAACCTCATCCTCTAAGAATCAATGCATGATGACCAAAATGCAATGTTTGAGCATTGACACAATTGCTTGGGCATCTTCTTTTTTTGTGCTATGCTTAAGCAACCACCAAGGCCACTTCGCACATGAAGGATAAGTGCCATTAAATATCCATTTAAAGTTTGGTCGTCACATCAACTCCTGATTAAAAAATAGAATGGTTTACAAACAAATAAACAAGAGATATTCCCCTCTCTTGCATTACCACTAGATAGGAAAAGAGAGCAAATGAGTTGGTCCAGGTTTTTAGGAGAAGAAGAGAAGTTTCCAAAATTTCATGAAAACCAAAGCCAGTCGCACTAGGAGAGAATAAACCTACTTATGTCATCTCTCCAACCCCTTTATAATCTTTCGTGTGTTCCACTTTCTTACGATAGAGAACCAATGTTGGTAGAGAAAAGCGAGGAAGCGAGAAACCTATAAGCCCTCCCGCCCCCCCCCCCCCCCCCCAAACATTTTGACGAAATCAAATATTCTTACGGTTATAGTTTGTTTCTTTTGACTATAATTAATTAGCTAGATCAAGCGAGGGGCCTTGACCATGATCCAAATCTAGCCTCCTAGTGAGTTGTTTGTGAGTTAGATGCACCCCACATCTTTCAAAAAAATTAGAAAGTTAAAAGGAGAATAATTTTGCTAGTGAAAAAATTATGGTTAACATCGTTAGAGTGTTTCTGACTAAATCTTAAAGTTAAAAATGAGGTTTTCTATTAATCCCTAATTTCAGGGGGTTTCTGATATTTCGAAAAAATCGAAGAGCTAATTTGTACTGGTTTAAATTTAATGAGGGTTTCATGATAGTTAGCCATTAGCCCAATGGATACTGCCACGTGATGGGACCGTACGGTGAACATGATGTCCAATCCTTATACAGGAGGTGAATTTCCCACACCCGGGTATATTTATCTGCCTCGTGTCACCATTCCAAATATAATGCAAACCCAATTTATTTTGCCCCGGCCCAAATTTACCGAACTACCCCTCTACAAAATAAAAACCCGGGTCTTTTCTCTCGCCATCTTTTCTTCGTTTCGGTGGGCGTCGCCTCTCTCGCAGCTGAGAAATCGAAAGGGTAGAAAGAGCTCCCGCCGCCGGTTCCCGTCCTTCCGCCGTCTCGATTCGCGGCTCCTTCCGGCCGGCTGCCTCCCTCCGCCCCTCGGATCCGCTCCTCCACACCGCCACCGTCCTCCCCACCGCGCCGCCCAAATCAATGACTATGGTGACCCCTCCCCCTGTCGACGTACGTCGTCCTCTCTCGATTCTAAACCCTAGATAGTTTTCATCTGCTGATCTCTTTGTTTTTGTATCGATTGTGCTGTTTTGGGAGGTTCCTAGGGTTTGGGGATCCTTGATTAGGGAACTATAGGGGCTCATTGGCTTCGAGTTCGATCCCTAGGGTTTTGGATTGGATATTTTGGTGCGGCTTTGTTGGATCTGAGCTTTGGTTATTGGCTTCGTTGTTATTTTGCAGCAGGTGGACGATGAGATGCTGGTCCCGAACTCGGAATACGCTGAAGGTCCTCAGCCGATGGAAGGTAATAAAGTTAATGTTCTTGATTTGATGAAATTTTGATCCAATTTATTTTTTTGCTACTTCCTAAATCCATTTGTTGCTGTGAATTTTGCGTAATTTTTTTTTGGGAGTAGTTTATTTGCAGTTTAGTCAGTTGGGAGCTTCTGAACGAGTGATTTTTTTTCTTGTACATTTTTTTTTGCTATTTTAGTTGCTCAAGCTGCCGAGCCTGCGACTACTACTGGGGAGAATCAACAAGTAGAAGATCCGCCCACAGGGAAATTCACGTGGACTATTGATACTTTCTCAAGATTGAACACTAAGAAGTGTTATTCAGATGTTTTTACTGTAGGAGGTTACAAATGGTACACTAATCTCTTGCTATTTGTTTATGGCAATGGGTGAAGACAAGTAGATGGCTTTAGTGCCTACTCTCATTTCTTTTGGCTTTAACAGGCGGGTGCTAGTTTTCCCCAAAGGAAATAATGTGGACCACTTGTCCATGTACCTGGATGTCGCTGATTCGGCGAGCTTGCCTTATGGCTGGAGTAGATACGCCCAGTTCAGCCTATCTGTTGTCAATCAAATGCATGGCAAGTACACTGTAAGAAAAGGTATAACTTTGATACTGCCTATATTTTACTAGCAGAGTTATTCGAGTTATTGTATACTTTTGGCCTTGATGTGTGGTACAGACCTTCTGTCATCCTGAGTAATTTATGGATTTTTTTGTTGAACTTGAAAGCGCTGGGAACTAATGGAACATGATTTATGTTTTCAATAAATTTTCACATTCCAATGATAATTCTGCATTGAGGAAACATACAACTACCACCTAGGCACCTAGTACCTACCATACATTACCTACCTATTACATTATACGGGCATACCCGCCACTTCCTAGGAAGCATTGAATATGGGATTGGGCATCTTTTAGATGTTCTGGTGTTAATGTCAGTCTAGTCCTTTTGAAACTTTTAAGTGTTGAAATGTTGTTTCTGCTATAACTGACATGGCACTCGGGTTTTCAAATACCATGCATGTAAATTTTTGATGTTTATTTTAATCTTTCCTACTAGTTACTGACATATGTTTGAATGCGTTCTTTGTGTCCATGTTCTTCTTAAACAGCATTATGAACTTTGGGACTATGTTTCTAACAAAATGACTGTAATCAGTAAATTTGATTGTATACCCTGTATTTTCTGACAGTAATCAACAAATAATACCAAAAATGAGACTTAATGCTGATCTAGAACAATGTCTGAACCAACCATATTACAACAATAGCTCTTTTGTTGTGAACTAGTGCAGGCCACACACCGTCTACATGTATAATATATTATCTTAGAAAAAACAGAATGCTATATGTTTTTAGAATCAACTTAAGGCAAATTTATAATTCAGAAGGGTCTATAGACAGCAGTGTTAGTGATTTTGAGATTGATAATATTCTTTCACATATTTTCTTGATGCAACATTGGTTCAGATTTAATGCTTTCCATTCAACAATCTTGTTCCTTTGTGAAATAAGATGTTAGTTTGCATAGATGGATGTGGACCCAGATTTCTATAGTTTGCTAAATATTCCTTGATTTTATGACTTCCGAACGCATTGAGCCTGACTTTCTTGCTGTTACTTGTCCTTAGAGTGACTTTTAATGTATTTCTTGTTTTTTTCGTTAGTTATAACCCATTTAACTTCATGTACTGGAGGCATGGAACATAATGTGGTGACCTCTCTGTTGATTGGTGGATTCGTATTTCTTGATTGAAATATGTCTTTTCTTCCATCCATCACTTTGAAAGAAATTTATTTGTTGGAAATGTAACTTCTATTGTCTTGCTTTTGTAGACACGCAACACCAATTTAATGCCCGGGAAAGTGACTGGGGTTTCACTTCATTTATGCCTCTATCTGAGCTTTATGACCCAAGTAGGGGATATCTTGTGAATGACACTTGTGTTGTTGAAGCTGAAGTTACCATCCGTAGGGTAGTTGATTACTGGACTTATGATTCTAAAAAGGAGACGGGTTATGTTGGTCTGAAGAATCAAGGAGCTACATGTTATATGAACTCCCTCCTTCAGTTTTTGTACCATATTCCCTATTTCAGGAAGGCATGAACCCCTTAGCGGTTTGGATTCTTTTGGCTTGCTGTATTTGTTATAATACGCTTCATAGATAATTATCTGTTGGTTGCATATTTCAGGCTGTGTACCATATGCCTACAACTGAGAATGATATGCCATCTGGAAGCATTCCTTTGGCTCTGCAGAGCTTGTTTTATAAACTTCAGTATAGTGATAGCAGTGTCGCTACTAAAGAGCTGACAAAGTCTTTTGGATGGGACACATATGATTCATTTATGCAGCATGATGTGCAAGAGCTTAACAGGGTGCTTTGTGAGAAGTTGGAGGATAAGATGAAGGTTTGGTATTTGCATAAGTTTTGCATTAGTGTTTGTTTGTGAACTGCAAGTTCTTGAATTGTACATTTTTCTAAGGGAACTGTTGTCGAGGGCACAATACAACAATTATTTGAAGGTCACCATATGAACTACATCGAGTGTATTAATGTTGACTACAAATCTAGGAGGAAGGAGTCATTCTATGGTATGTAAATTATATGATGATATATCACAATTTTCCATTGAACTCCTGTATTATTATATTATTCTAATTTTGTACTAAATGGTTGATTATATCTCTTGTAGACCTTCAACTTGATGTTAAAGGTTGTAAGGATGTTTATGCTTCATTTGATAAGTATGTTGAAGTTGAACGGCTTGAAGCGGATAACAAGTATCATGCAGAACAGTATGGTTTACAGGTTAGTAGTTACCTTGTTAAGTGAAAAATGTTACACAGTCCCCTTGTAGTGATGTCTTTACTCTGGATAACTTAGCTTGAGGGCCCTTCCTATAGCTTCCGTTGAAGTTCATGGACTGAGAAAGATAAGCAGTTCATATGGGTAAGGAAAAACTGATGCATTCGAAAAGGGTATATTTTCCATGAATGATTCACATTAGGGGATAAACTAATGTAATGTGGGACATGGCTCTATACATCACTTATTGGTTGGAGTTACTTAGGAACTTTAGGATTGCTGGCTTTGAATTTTTTTTGATGATGTATTGATTTTGTATTGCTTGCTTCTCTATCGCCTTGTAAAATTGATCAACGAAAAAATTGAAACTTAGGTAAGTGTTTTATCAACATATGTAGCAAAAGAAGATATCTAATTTAGCTCTTTCATGCCTACTATAACTAGTTATTTTGGTTTTCTATTGGCTGCTTCAACTATAACCCCAGCTCTATTGATTGGCTTGAACAAGATACGACTTATTTGAACTGAATTGAATGAACAAATTCATAGAAAAAAATATTTCTACTTCAGGTATTCCGCGGTCCCTTCTCGTGTCAATTGTTAATTCTTGGTTATATTGGTAACTCTTGGTCATTGAGATTCGCGTATTTTTCAGATTAATATTTAGGGATAGATCTTACCTTTCTTTTTATCTCCTCAAACAAATCGAAATGATTGAAGTTCTTCTAATGCATATAATAGTTTTAACACTGTTTTGTTTGTTTTGCTTCTAATGGCTATCTTGATGTCAACTGATGGAAATAGCATTTAGAAAACAATCCTTTTCTTCTTTTTCTTAATATTTAACCTACAATAGCTATTTCATCATAATTTTTTAGTTGATTAATTTTTCTGCGTTTGTTATTATATACTAATCCTTATTGAAATTATTGCAAGCAATCATGAATGTCAAACATTGCACATAGATACTCTCTAGAACTTTGGGCCCCCAAGTCATAAAACCATATCTGAACTCATTTGAGATTAAAAACCAATTTTGCTATCATAGGGATGCTTTGCTTCCTTAGCTCTTGGGAGTTTTGCTAAGATTATTATTCATGCATTTGTGTTGTTTACCCAGTGACTAAAAAAAAGTCTGCATTATGGGCTCTGTTCCTAGGGTAATAAATCCATATTTCCAGAGGTTTTCTGTTTAGTCTCCTTTTTGTTTAACTGTTTAGTATATAGTTTGGTATTATTAGCATTAAGTACAACTAGATATGTGCTATGTAGATTGGTAGCTTACTGGTTATAAGTTTCAGAAGATAAACTGTGACATCTTTAATCAAAATCTAAATGAAGCCTTCTATGTAGATTAGTAGCTAAGTGTTTAATCTTCAGAAGCTAAATTGTGATATTTTAATCGAAACCGAAATAAAGCCTTCTTCCCCCTTTTTTGTCTTTTCAAAATTTGAAGTCTCGGTTCTGTGAACATCATCTTCGAGAAACATTAGCTCTAGCTGCTTCCCTTTATAATTGGGTTACCAGCGGATGCAGTCCATGATGTAGCAAAAAAGTCTCTTTTTGATAATGCTCTAGCAAGCCCGTCAATTTTTATCAGTCCTTTAATAGCTATAGACCTCATATCTCTTTTTGCTAATGTATACATTTTATTTTTCTTTAATATTTGTTTTCATCTGTTCTCTTTCTACTTGTGTTTTTCTTACTTTTTGTTTCTTACGTTTGTCTTCTTCCCTTCCTTTGTCCTCTTCTTCCTCCCTAGTTTGGTTTGAAACTGGAACTTTAACATATTGATCACCATGTTTTCTTTTGCTGGCTTATATGTTTGCTGTAGAGAACAAGGTCACATCAGTTTTTGCTGATGGTTTCCTCTTGGTTTTGGAGAGGACTGGTCAGAATAGCTTTTGTCTTGCTAGGGTTCTTTGGTACACATTTGCATTAACTGCTCTGCTCTTGTTCCATTTTTTTCCCAGGTTCCCAGTGAAACTTAAGCCTACTTAAGAAATTCAAACTGAGGGAACCTAAACTCCTAGTTGAACACGACTCTCTTCTAAGGACTTCTATCGTCATTCTAAACTAAATCCATACATTGTAATCTATGTAATTTGATACTTCTTACTTAACCTCTGATTATAATTTTAGCTTGCCTTTATCTTAGTAGTGTTAATCCAATTAAATATTGGGTTAATTGGTTTGAGTACTATAAGTTTACTTCTCTTGATTTAACATCCACTTACTTACATGTTTATGATATTTCTATGAGGCACTGAACACACAAATAATCAAAGGTAGTATATTGGTATGGACACTTACAGTGTTACCTACATATTTTTATATGCTCGAACTGAGACAAAAACTCTAAAGAAAACCTTTGAAACTAGTGAATCTGTTTAACGGAGTCTTAAGCTGGGACAGAAATTGAAATGGAGCTGTGGGACCTTGGCCGGATCTAATTGTTTAGGTTATAGCTTGTATAGATCCATGGTTTTTAGGTTAGGAATGGTTAAGCAGCCTCCTACCATGTGATAGACAAGTGATAGTGCAAGTATTTATATCCAGATAATATGAACATTAAAAGTTGAATATTAATGTAGCCTGTATACAATCTTGAGTTTAAGTTGGAACAGCTTTTATATTTTAAACTTCATGCTAATGCCCTTAGGGGTTTATGGAGTCTGCCTGCCAAAATTGTTTGACTGTTACTTGCTTTTAATACACTTATCATTAGTCTGCATGATGTAGTTTTCAGCTGAACCGGCATTGTATATTGTGCTTGTTCAAAGCTTCAAATATTAGTAATTTTCTAATAACTAGTTATGTGCTCATATAGGCTTAAAAATGTAAGTTCAAAGATATTTGATGTTGTCTCATGTAAGTTCAAAGATATTTTATTTTCCATATTGATCTGTCATCTGGCTATAAGCCTGTCAGGTGTGTAACCATCTAGTTTGAACGTAGTTGTTTGGCATATTCTCTGCATTATGATCAAGTAGATAGTGCATATTGTCCTATACTCCTATATGTTCTTTAAGTGTCTGTTGCCATATTGCTTTAATCGATATATTTTCTGCTTATTCTCTTATCCTAATTTAATTTCAGGATGCTAAGAAAGGTGTTCTATTTATTGACTTCCCGCCTGTTCTGCAACTTCAGTTGAAACGTTTTGAATATGATTTCATGCGAGATACAATGGTTAAGGTTGGTTCAATATGACTAGCTGCTAGTACGTTTATGATTGTATATTATATGTTTCATTTTTTTTTTGCTTACTTCTCGTTTGTAATAAATAAGAACTAAGTTGGCCTAATTTGCTTATGGTTGGTGAAAGATAAATTCAGAATGACAGAGCAGGAAAATTGTCCTTTGTCTTTCTAATTTTCTGCATAGAGGTATTCAAAGTTATTGGATATTCTTTCTAATGTACCATTGTGTAAATACTTTGGTCTGGCTTTTGTGGCAAGTGATGAGCTCATATACTGAAACTTGGTTAAGCTAGTTGAGTTCGTCGAGGCCAGTCTTCCGATAGGGGGTAGAAGAACTAAGTATCTACTACTTACTGATGGAAATACGTAGCGACGAGGCAATGCATCCGCATTTTCTTTATATGTTAAGTGTATCAAATGGAATTTGGAAAAGTTCATTGCATCAAATTGTCAAGAATTTGATATTTCTTATGCAATTGCTTGCCCTAAGATTTCCAGAATTTTTAATTGAGTACTAGTACATTTTTAGCATCTTTACCAAGTAATTATTCTTGCTCACGGCTCGACTGTTGCATTGTTTCTAATAGCTCAAATCTGCTAAACTATGCGGTATAATTTAGTATAATGTATTGGTTTCAATAGTTGGATATTTAAATGCCTAGTTCCTTTTGTCATCATGGCTTTCATCTCAGCAGTGCTGGATTGTTAGTAGTGGCTCAATTAGAATCTAAAAAATTTGGTTGTTTTGGCACTATTTTATTTTCTTATATCACTGGTGGGTGCAGGCGATTCCTTTTCTTTTTAGGTGGTCATCAGGTTTTCTTAATCCCTGTAAGGCTGGACTAGACACCTCAAACTAAATAGGAATTAGCCGTTCAGATTGTATTGTCTTTTCGGGAGATGAACTTAGTTCTGATTTGGTTGACTGTGAAGAGGCATTTAATTTAATTGATCTAAATTTGAAATTTTTGATACACATATATGTATTTTATATATCTTGATGCAGATAAATGACCGTTATGAGTTCCCATTGCAACTTGACCTTGACAGAGATAATGGAAAATATCTTTCTCCAGATGCTGACAGATCAGTCCGCAATCTTTATACTCTTCACAGGTAACATTCTATGGAGGATCACTTGATTTGGCCGCTGAAATCAAGTTTCTAGTTTTACTTGTTTATCCGTTTTTGGCAAGTCAAACATTGTGTTACTGCTACTTTGATATTATACTACATGCTAAACCATAGAAGCAGAACAGGGCGTAAATTAGTTGCCATGCAAAGATTATGCATTGCAGTACTGCTTCTTTTCTGTTGTTCATTTCTCCAAGTTGGTCATCATCGTGTCTGTTCTGGTACTCCATCTGTGCATATACTCCTTTGGAAATTGTTGAGCTGTAAGTTACCTCACAGCATCTGCCTGAAAGCGTAATTTTCAAATTTGTGCATCTTTCGCTATATTTCCTCAGACTGTCTGATACTAAATAAACAGCAAGTATAACTTTGTACAACTTTGGTCCAGTCATGAGCTGATGGGATGATGCTAATTTGAGTCCTCTCCAATGTTTTTCTATTTGCATAGTTGTGCGTGTAAAAGTTTAGAGCGCTGTGTCCAAGTAAGTTTATTGTATATGATTGTGTTCATTTGTGATGTCCTGCTAGTTCGTGTAGGTTGGTACATGGTGCTGCTTCATTTCCGTGTATTGGAATATTTGGTTGGGAAGAAACACATAAGATGATGTGTTATGTTATGCCGCATGCTTTGTCAGCTCATTGGTACTTAGTTAGACCACATATTGGGGTTGTTTCATTTTTAAGCTTTATTAATATTGCGACAAACCATATTTTCCTCGTACAAGGAAACACATTAGCTGGACAAGAGAATCTTTAATGAACAAGGGGGAAATTCTCTAAATTTCTTTGTGCCTATCCACACACACACACATATATGCAAATGGATCAATGAGCATGTATGGTCTTGCTAGGCGTGTAGGTGCATAAACATGTTCTAGTATCTTTGTCTTGCTTGTGATTGTTGTGGTAGTATCAAAATGAAGATTGTGAGGTTATGCAAGGGCATCAGATTCATAATCTTCTGTATTCAGTCTTTTATTTTAATTTTGTCTCCTTTAGCGTCAAAATTGTCATTTTCTTGTTATTCAATGGCCAAGTTTTGATTTTTGAGAGCAAATGTAATACCTTCTGGGTTCATATATTTTAGCTGTGCACTATCTTATGTTAGTAATTTCAACATACTGCAATTAGCTTGTTGTAGTTAAATGACCAAGATATGATGCTAAAAAGGATTATGATGAGTCACTTTACTTAGATGATAGGGTTTTGAAATTTATAGCAAATTAGCAACTATTAGTGGCTAGTTCATGTGGCCTCGGGCACTCATCGCGTGGTTATACACATGTGATGTTATTTTGTCTTCCTTTTATTAAGAGTACTTATTATAATTTCTTTGTGTAATGCAGTGTTCTTGTTCATAGTGGTGGAGTTCATGGGGGACACTATTATGCATATATCCGTCCTACTCTCTCAGATCAGTGGTAAGTAGCATACTTACTTATACTTGTCTATGCTTTATTCCATTGGGCTGGCCACATGGCCGTAAGTTTAAGTAGGTTGACAAGGTTGTTAAGGTTCACTTTGGCATGTTTAAAGAAAACAGTTTCATAGATTTGAAACAAATTAAATTCTTTTCATGGAAATTGTTTGTTGCATACCATTTCTTAGGAGCTTATTATGAAACGAAGGACGAACCGAGCCAAAGAGCATTGTTTTTGCAACCTACTTGTTCGTCCATTCTCCCTTGTGCTTAACATACACAGAAGTTTGCACACCAATGTGTTGCCTGGAAGCAGTTTTGCCATTTTTGAAAATGACGATATCAAGATTTTTGGAATTATTCAAATCTGAATATAGTTTGTTACTATAACTCATATAAGAATACAATTATAGTGATAAATTCAGATAGTTCACAATGATAAGCTCTTGTACTTAAGAATATAATTATAGTGATAAATATATGCCTGTTCCTCAAGTAGAAATAGTTTGATCTGTTCCTCGATAGCTTGTTCTGAAAAGGTTTCTGCTTGCTTGGTGAATGTCTTGGCAGGATATAAAATTTCTTGGAATTAAGGTTAATTTCTTTAAGTAGGTATCTAGCTTGAATGAAAATGTTCTTTACCTGTTTGATTTGTAACTGATCAAGTATCCATTAGCACTCTCAGTGGAATAGGGTCTAACTGGGGTTGTTTAAACAACTCCCATAATCATTGACCTCTTGCCAATTGATTCTGAGTAGTTTTATCTAGACCAGAAGAAAATTTTGAAAACCCTCTTAACTTTGCGGATTAAGCTAGTTCCTATTTCCCTTCATCTACAAAGTTCCTGATCTCGTCTTGTTGATTCTCAATTGTAGGACATGGAATTACGAATGGATATTCTCTAACGAATCCATACATTAGACTTTCTGAATAATAATACATGCAATTTGTTGAGTATTTTTGTAAGTACTTCACCAAATAGATCATTTTCATTTAAAGGCATTGCCAAATGTGCCATAAATTCTGTCTTGCTAACTAAAAGCTCCAAAAAAATCTTTTATTTTGCTATTTCACAAATTATCATTTGCTGGAGCATCCTTTGTGTGTGTGTGTGTGTGTTATGTTATTAGATGTACTTGAATTTGTACATTTATGCCTTCTTTTTATGCACTCTGTTATGCTTCTATCTTCTAACTTGGTGAGTTAGAGACATTGTTGGACTGTGGAAACAAGGTGGCTGCTTGCATTAGTCTTATAGTTTTGTGCTATTCTGAATTTCTCTTTGAAATATGGATAGCAATTGACAACACTTTACTTTAAAGGTTCAAGTTTGATGATGAGCGAGTAACAAAAGAAGATATAAAGAGAGCACTGGAAGAGCAATATGGTGGTGAGGAAGAGGTAATCAATCTTGCTATGTCAAACATCTCAATTAATTAATTTTATGTTTTTTTCCTCGGTGTTGGATCTTGACATCTACTTGTTTGTGTTCAACAGTTGCCACAAACAAATCCTGGATATAATAACACTCCATTCAAATTTACGAAGTATTCAAATGCATACATGCTTGTGTATATTCGTGAGAGTGATAAGGATAAAATAATATGTAATGTGGATGAGAAGGATATTGCTGAGCACCTTAGAGTAAGATACTCATTGCAATTGGTTGGTGGTGTGATTTCAGAATTGAAAAGTCTAGGACATTCAACATTTTTTAATCTTTGACCAGATACGGTTGAAAAAGGAGCAAGAGGAAAAAGAACACAAAAAGAAAGAGAAGGCTGAGGCTCATCTATATACCATAATAAAGGTTTCACGTGATTTATTCTATTGAATTGTGATTTATGCTTGTCTTGAATATTTTTTTGGCTAAGTTGTTCTGGATGTATCAAGGTTGCACGAAATGAAGATTTGGCTGAACAAATAGGGCGTGATATATACTTTGACCTAGTGGACCATGACAAGGTTCGCAGCTTTCGTATTCAGAAGCAGATGCCTTTCAGCCAATTCAAGGTAATGCTTTTAGCTAAGATTACGTCGAACAATATGAGTTTATTTATTCTCATTTCTACTCTGATTACCACAATTCAGATGATGTTTTGGTTACTGAATATCACCATAAGAGGCTAAAATCTTGCATCCGTTGTTGTCAGTTATTTTTTTGTATTTAGCTCAGGTTGGAAGTGCTTTTATTGTTCTCCAAGTGAACCATAAATTGACAAAAAGTAGGTAGAGATAGATTTGGCTCTTCAGGAAGGATTTTGAAGTACAATATTTTTTTCACCCAATCCAAGTATTAATTACAGGTCCAGTTTATTCATCTTTGTCTAATTTTTTTGAATGCCTCTGAACAAATTTTGGAATCATGATGATTTCTGTATTAAGTGTGCATGAAAAGCAATGCTGAAATTTAATGAGTTATTTTGATCACAATATGGATTCTGAATGTCAAACCATAGATCTGACAGATTTGAAAATGATTGTCCTTTTTTTAGCCACTTGATTTATGTGTCATTTTTGGTTTTTCAAGATTAGATGAAGGAATGGGGATAGTTTAGAACGTCAAAGGCCATATGAATTTTAAGTGGAAGATAAATATTTGTTTCTATATCCTTAGTGATGGAGCCAGGTCTTTTTGAGCTTGGCACATTCTAGAATTTAGTAAATTCTTAACCAATATAGTTTTTCATCTCAATTGTGAATTTTTATAAAGAATGAAACTTTTTTCGCACAACAAATATTTTGCAGCACAAAAGTATATGCATGAAATTTGCTCTATTTGATGGATATGATGGCTGAAAAAGTTGTAAACATCTATTCAACTATTTCTTTTGTTGTACTTGGATCATCATGCCTTACTAGTTGCTTTACGACTTTTCTGCATAGCTACATTTAACTATTTACCTGTCTAAATATTTTAATAATCTTAATTTGTTTAGCCTGATTGGTTATGTTGCTATGCTCTAGCTCAGCTTCATTTAAGGTCATTCAGCTTTACAACTGCCTTGTGACAATCAGTTAGTTAACATTGATCTATTATGCAGGAGGAAGTGGCCAAAGAAGTTGGTATACCTGTACAATTTCAGCGATTTTGGCTGTGGGCCAAGAGACAAAACCACACGTACAGGCCTAATAGGCCATTGACTCCTCTGGAAGAAGCACAATCTGTAAGTGAATTCCCACAGATTTATTAGCAGCTGACATATACTACAATAAGCTTTGCTTTAATAGGACAATATCTGAGGAGAAGGGATTGCAGGGATGTTGTGCATGGTTCAACACTTCAACTCTATGTCAACCCCTTGTGAACAGATAGAGATAGGAATTCATTTGCCTGATTAAATTGTTTTCCATGGCCCCTGGTGACATGGCCATCATTATTGACATTATGACAACTGTATCTATTAGCAGTTTATAGACATGCATGCTTCGGGCATGTATTACCTACACTTGTTCTATAATTATATTGATGACATTAATTGTTGCACGTGTGATCTGTCAGAAGATAATTTTTTTTGTTGATCACACCTCTAACTGTTGCTTTTCTTTTATTGTTAGCATGTTTGCATTGACATTTTCACAGTAGTACTCTAATTTTCCCTTTAGACCACATGCATAGAATACTTGTTAATAGTAACTGTTTTGGTTTTCCTCCTCTTTAGACACCATCTTTATTTTTCTTGAAGAACATATTACATTTACAATGTTCACTTGTGAGTGTCGGCCAGTTTCTTGGGAGGTGACTGTTATGCATCGGATTCCGAAGTAAGGAAGGAGAACTGGCAATTCTAATGAATTATTACATAGATTTCATATGGATAATGGTAAAATATGGTTAAAACAGAGGACTAGTCCATACTACTACTTTTCTCTTAAATATCACAGGTGGCATGCATTTTTTCCATAGTTCATTTTTTTATTATAATTTTGTCTCTTTCTCAGTCTGCTAATTATTTATTGATGCCCATGAGAAGCTTGTTCTCATGTCTTCCTTGTATTATGTTGAGGCCTTTTTCTTCATATTCAAAGTTCTTTTCTGCATACAGGAACTTTTGTATATTAGCTAGCATTTGTTGTTTGGCCTCCTATGTGAAAGCAGAGCTCTATAGCTCTACATGGGAATGAGAGATATTGCACATGTGCATTTTATGACACGATCAGAGAAATTATATTATGTTACTGTTTTTTCTATATTTTATTTTCATGATTTCTCATTCATGTATAGCTAGATATCTGCAAGCTACTGTGTTATATTATTTAAACATCTGATGATTTTTGGTGTGATGTCATAAAGTTGATTATTGCCATCTAGGTTGGACAGTTGAGGGAGGTATCAAACAAGGCACACAATGCAGAACTTAAACTCTTCTTGGAAATAGAGCTTGGAGTGGTAATGATTGTTTCTCTGACATGTTTTACCTAAATGTTTGCCATCCCCCTCTTTTATCTATTGTTTTATTTAGTGTCTTAGATATGCTGTCAGATGATTAATTGATGTTGCAATGTGTTTGGTTGCTCAGGATTTACGTCCAATTCCTCCACCGGACAAGACGAAGGAAGATATACTACTATTTTTCAAGCTTTATGATCCAGAAAAGGAAGAGCTACGGTAATATAGTTTCCTGTCTGTTGATTGTTTTTATCTTTGCATGACAGCTGACTGTTATATTTCTTTCTTCTTTTTTAATGGTTTCAGATATGTTGGTAGACTCTTTGTGAAAGGACTAGGAAAGCCAGCAGAAATTTTAACGAAGTTGAATGAAATGGCTGGTTTTCCACCAAATGAAGAAATTGAATTATATGAGGTTAGTTGAGAGTTGTTTCCCTTAATTTTACATAGCTTTATTCAAGTCTAATTTGTCTACTCCTGATGCTTTTTTTAGGTATTAACCTCTCCTTTTGTTTTTGATGATGCCCAGGAAATAAAATTTGAGCCTACTGTTATGTGTGAGCATATTGACAAGAAACTTACTTTCCGTTCTAGCCAGGTCCTATAACACTAAACTTACCAGCAAAGGATATTACTAGCAAATTAGTTATCTTATCACTGCCTGACCCTGTTAGTCTTTACAGCTTGAAGATGGTGATATTATTTGTTATCAGAAATCCCCACCCTTAGAAAGTGATGACCGATACCGTTATCCAGATGTTCCTTCATTCTTGGAGTATGTCCATAATCGACAGGTATGTAATGTAGGCAGTACAATTAGCTGATTAAATGCATTCATTCTATTTAGGTAGATATTTCCTATTTGCCTGCTTCTGCTATCATAGTACAGTACTACAGTCTTTTCGTTGCATATCTGCCATGGCATACAGATCACATTTGTTTTCTTATCCATAATAGCATGCTCCTCTCTTGAGGATACGTTTTATATTCCATGCAAAACGACTAAGAACATTTATAATAATAAGGCTGTACATCTCCTATATAAAAATTCAGGATGATGACTACATTTTTATGTCTGTTTCCTGGTAACTTTAACAGTTCTGCTACAATCTGATTATTAGGATTGAAACATGTGAGGCTTCAAACATGCTGTGCAAGTATAAACAGAATAGTCAATCTCAACATTTGATAAGTCAAGACCAAAGCTCCTTAGAAATCAAACAAGCGAAAGCTTGGGAATGGATACTCTATAGCCCATGAAACTTTCATCTGATACCAACTCAAGAATGAATCTGATCGCATGATTCTGTTTCCGTATATTTGGCATAAACCTGCAATCAGTCAAAATCCCAATCGTTCATTCGGGTCTGAATTGAACTTGTGGACCAAGTTAAGCCTGTTTCTGTCTGGACTACATTCTTTCCAGTTAATCACAAAACAGTTGCATGGAAGTTCTTTCCAACTCCTTGTTTTGATCTATGGTCTTTATTACATTGTCTTGTCAGGTTGAACTCAATTTAACCGGTTTCCAGTTGGCTATGACTCTGAATATTCAAAAGTTAACGCTTCTGTATCATCTTGGTTCCTAACTGTTATCATTGCCTTTGAATAGTTTGTGCAGCTGGCTTTGTTAATTCATATTTGATGTAGGATGAGATATCATTAGTTAATAGGAATGGTTCTGTTTGGGGTTCATGTGAACCATGTATATTCTGAACCATGGGGATACCCAGTCTCATGTATCTGTCATGTTTCATGCTCTGCAGTCTCTTATTCTTATAAACCTTCTCTAGTTTGAGGCTTACTTTCTAACCGATATCCAACATGTATAAATTCTAGAGCTTACTGTTTACCTTTCCACTTGTTCAATTTCTTATGTTTCTAGTCAACAGATCTTGGAATCAAGCTAAGACAAATTTTCTCTGACCTTCTGCATAAGTAATTGGTGGTATCATCTCAGCAGACAGAAAACTAGTCTGCTTAAAAAAGTCCTTACCCTATGATTGAATATCTCGACCCCACATCAAATTATCAATGAAAAACAAGCTAAAATCGTTGACGGAACTTTGGAAGATAAAAAAATGGAAAAGAGAATCAAGTAGGCTTATCCATACCTACAACTTGCATCACTGCCTTTTTTGGCAATGCCTCAGTATGTGATTGAGCTATTACTCATGCTCTCAGCATTGTAAAACACTTCATTTGCAAAATTTCTCATAATTGATGATTGAATATTTGATGAGAATTGAGGTTGTAATTTTATATTCTAACATTTGTCTGCAGGTGGAGTGTCCTTCTCATGGGTTGGAACTTAAATTATTTTATGCAGCGATATATGTTTCTCTAAATCTGATTTAAATGTGTGACTAGTGTGATTTGAAACCATATTAAAGTCTCTTCCACCACACCAAAACTCCGAGGTTGCAGTGAAGATTGATGGTTATAATTTTATGTTATAACATAGGAAAATCTCAAGATTCCTGTTGCCTCTCTGTCCATGCAATACTATTAAAAGTTGAAAACAATGCTCTGCTTTGACCATTTTCTTTGTAATATTCAGATTTACATCATTTCCGACCTTAATTATTCTTTTTGAGTACCTCTTATTTGTATTATGTGCTTTTGTAGGTGGTTCATTTTCGGTCACTGGAGAAGCCAAAGGAGGATGATTTCTGTCTAGAATTGTTAGTTTTCCAAATATAATAGTCTCTTTTATTTTTAAATATGCACCAAGTAGGCTACACTTATTCGTGTTTCCTTCTGCCTTAAAGGTCAAAGCTTCAAACTTATGATGATGTTGTAGAAAGAGTTGCTCGTCATCTTGGTCTGGATGATGCATCAAAAATTCGTCTTACATCTCATAACTGCTACTCTCAGCAGCCTAAACCCCAACCCATTAAGTACAGAGGTGTTGAGCATCTTTCGGAGATGCTAGTTCATTACAATCAGGTTGTTGTCAACTTTTGGCTCAAATACGAAGCAATAATGCCAATAACACCCAATTAATGCATTAGTCTGTGGCTGAGTTTATTGGCTTTCTTGTGGCAGATGTCTGATATACTGTACTATGAAGTTCTTGATATTCCTCTGCCAGAGCTGCAATGTTTAAAAACTCTTAAAGTTGCATTTCATCATGCTACAAAGGATGAGGTTGGTTTGGCAGATATTTCTATCTTCTTTTTTATTTTTGTTTGATTTGGTGATTGCATAAAACTCTTGTATTATGCTTTCAGATTGTAATTCATAGCATCAGATTACCAAAAAACAGCACTGTAGGTGATGTTATCAATGATCTGAAAACCAAGGTAATTTAGCAATTGTATATATGTTATGATGTTTTTCTATTTGAAAATAACTTGTTAATTCTGCTCTTACAACTCTTTTCATATAACTGCAATTTGTTATTAAAAAAAAGATACGAGATAAGAAAAAATGCCTTCCCACTGACCTTGCATCTCATACTCTGAACAGGTTGAGCTTTCTCATCCTAATGCTGAACTTCGATTGCTTGAGGTGTTCTACCATAAAATATATAAGGTAGTCTTGCTGGTCTTTAGAAGATGCTTTGTTTTTTGGCACAATTATTGATGTTTGTATATCCACTTGATTTCATGGATCGGATGACAAAATAAGCCCAAAGGTGAAGGTAGTTGGAAGATTCATCTGGTTTCTTTAAATATTGATTTCTTTGATTTTGATTAAACAAAGTTGTTTGAGAGTTGAAACCATGTCTATTGGTGACTGAGAAGTTGTTTGATATATGCATGTATCTCATGTAACTCTGCTGCTACAAGCTGGAAGATCTTTGCCAACCATCCATTTTTTTTTTTTTTTAATTTCGTATTTTGTAGCATCTAGGATGAACATTTACAAAGCTTTAAGACATTTGTTTGCGTCTGGGTTTCCCAGGTTTATGTGTTGCTTCATCGTATCTTCCGACTATCATGTCTTCTGTAACTTGTTAATTTTTATAGTTTATTCTTTCCTTCTTCATCATCTTATGTCTCCTTTTTGCAGATTTTTCCACCTACTGAAAAGATAGAAAATATTAATGATCAGTACTGGACATTACGCGCAGAGGAGGCAAGTTATAGTTCACCATTATGAGTTTTCTGTTCCACAGTCTTTGCATATTATAGTACCCAATTTGGTACTATTTATTTCTATTTTTGTGATCCTTAATTTGATTTCTTTTTCTTCTTTTTATTTTTAATGTAGGTCATACATTGGTATATTTAGAGATAAATATTAACCTGCAACTTATTCTCCATTTGAAACAGATTCCCGAGAAATATTAACCTGCAACTTATTGTCCATGTGAAACAGATTCCTGAGGAAGAGAAAAATCTTGGCCCCCATGACCGTTTGATCCATGTCTATCACTTTATGAAAGATCCAAACCAGAACCAGATGGTAAGTTCAGATCTTAACGTTTGGTTTATTCTGAACGGATAAGTATCAGACATTTGACATTTCATAGTATGGAAGTTAAAAACTGGTGTTTTATTTAATCAGCAAGTTCAGAATTTTGGAGAACCTTTCTTTCTGATCATTCATGAAGGTGAGACTTTGGCTGAGGTCAAAACACGAATTCAGAAAAAGCTTCAAGTCCCTGATGAAGAGTTCTCTAAGGTAACCTTTGTCAAAATTTTGAACCATATTTTGTGTTCCCATGCATAATTTTTCTCAGTGGTCATCGTGGCTTAGTGCCTGCATATTGTTCTTGTTTGTCAAGTTACTATGTGCACCTATGAATTTTAAGGGAAAAATCTATAGGACATTTTAAATACCAATACTGTTTTATGGACCAGAATGTTAGGCAAGATGCAAATAAGGAACATGTGCAGAAAAGTGAATGTGGCAGAAATGAGTATGTTAAGATGGATTTGTAGATATACACTTGAAGATTGGATAAGAAATGATTGTACTTGGAGGTTGCTCCTGTTGTGGATAAAATGAGAGAAAACCTGTTGAGATAGTTGGACACATGCAAGGAGGGCCACAAAGGGCACTGGTTAGAAGAGGTTGGACTAAGAGAACTTGGTTGGATACAATTAAGAAGAGTTTGATAGTGGTTAACCTAACGGTGGATACAGCCTAAACAGAACTAAATGGAAGAATCAGATCCGTGTAGCAGACATCAAAAATTTGGGATAAAGTCTTTGATATTGGCTGTAGTTAAATTACCTTGTGCTGATGTGTGACTTCATAGTCAACCACCATGTATGTTCGTTTGATGTACTGTCACCTCTATATATTTTGATGCTAATAAGCATTTGCATACTGTTCTATCCCTTGGTGGAGTGTGTTCGTTTTATTCTTTCAAAAATTAAAAGTTTGCAGGGAGCGCTCGCAGTGTAAGGAGAATGATTAAAAACGTAAGCTTCGTGAACTGTGATAGTGTTTTAGAAAAATAACAATATTGTGGCATATGGAAGAAAGTAGAAATGTGTTAAGAAAAACATGAGTTATTGTTTACACGTGTAAAAAGTTACTTTTATTTTTTACACATGTAAAAAGTTACTTTGGATCACAATACTAAAGCTTGAAGAATACAAGTTTGCACAACAATGTTCTTGAAATTGTATAGGCTGAACAAGCAAAATCTCATATGCAGTACATGAGATAGGAAAATTTGCATCAGGTTAATGTTCTATACTTGCAAATCAAAACTTGTGTGCTGCTTTCAAATAGGTTAGGTGACAACCATGATGCAGGCCATACTTAGTCGCGACCTTTCGTTCGCTTTATTTGTAGACATACATTGTGTTCTCATTCTA